GCCATTCAGCTTTTTATTAGACCAATGAGGTGTTTTAGACAAGCAAAGTAAGACAGACTTAAACAAATACGACATAAAGGGATGCAATACATATTTGCATCATTAAAACAATGTAAGCATAAACAAATGTAACACATCTTCAACCAATATTCCACAACAACCTGAGCCTATCACCTCAACCTGGGTCAGCACCTCTCTCTCTCTCTCTCTCTCTCTCTCTCTCTCTCTCTCTCTCTCTCTCTCTCTCTCTCTCTCTCTCTCTCTCTCTAGGAACGCCTCTCTGAACCTTTATACTCACCCTCCAGAGGCAGAGGCCACCCTCAGCAGCTCTCACCATTGTTACCTGCACCCCTCTGGCCCCTGTCCACATGGTGGCCAACACTTGGAGAAGCTTTAAGGCCTCCCGTGTACCTTTGTCGGTGCTCCCGACCTCACTGTATTTACCCTGTCACCTTTTAAAGTTTTTAAAACACTTGTTTTCACTGTAATGCTGTGGTCCTACCCACTCTCGGGGCTTCTATAGTTGGCCCAATGGGCTGCATCTCCACTGGTACTTTAATTTTAGCTTTTTTTCTTTGAAAGCTTCTAGAACCCTGGGAGAAAATTTCTGTGTTTTATAAGCTGAAAGGACTAAGGATAAGAATTCAAACTAAGGATTTTTTTTTTTTTGCTAAGAAATGCCTCCACAATTAGATAGGAGGGCTGGTGTGGTAAAGGACAGCACTTCAGGGTCAAAAATAGCACACAAGCCTCTGGACTCAGAACCACAGTCACTGGGGTGAGGAGGAAAAGGCAGCAGGGCTGTGTCTTCTGGAAAAGCATCTACAGGAAAGTGGTAAGAGACTGGGGTCACTCTCTAGCCCATGATGTTTCATTTTGCACAGCATCTTCCCATTCATCTGGATGGCAATTCAGCTTTGCATTACTGTAACAAAAAAAAAACAAACAAACAAACAAAAAAAACCAAACTAAGGAAACAGGTTTATTTTGGCTCAGTTTTCCAGGTTTCATCTCATGATGATGGGTCTTATCACTTTGGGTCTGTGATGAGGCATTAAATCACTCAAAGGCACATGGTGTAGCAGAGCCGTTCATCGCATGGCCAAGGGCTAACATATACTTCAGCTTTAGGAGCTGAAGTCCCAAGACCCACATTAGAGATGACTTAACAAGATCTCCCACCAGGTCCCCCCTCTTCTTCTACCACCTCATAACTCAAGCCAGATGTGGACCCAGCCTTTAACACATGGGCCTTGGGGGCTGTGTATTTTAGATTCAACGTACATCGAAGATGTGGAGATTGTAGGAAAGCCACAAGGGTCCTGGGCTAAGATTTTAATAGAAACATTGAGTAAGTAAAGTCACTTCTTAAAATCGCCCAAGTCTCACCACTCAGTGTGTGCTTGGTAAGGAGCAAGCTCCTGGCCTCCTGGCCACTGGCGTGCCTGCAGCGTCTCCAGGCGGAGCCCTCTAAAGGTCTCTCAGATTCTTCCATCGCCACCAGTGTGTGCCCTTCCTGCCCCACCGTGCTCTCCCCAGCCTCTCATTTCAGAGATCACTCCATGCTTTTGTTCTAGTTCTTTCTGCTTTTTGTTTGTTTTGACAGCTATCATGGATATTTTGAAGCTCAAATTTGGAAAGAACAGATGAAAGTGAGCTCTAGATTTTTTCCATCTTAAGTCATGACCTTTTTCCTGGGAGAAGCTGGCTAGAAGGGGTATCTTTCCGGCCTAAGAATTTGCGCAAGCAGGCAAACCTCTTCTGTCTTGTCCCCTGTCTACCTAAATGGGGTTGAGTGAGATCAGAACTTGCCAAACCTATCTGTGTAATACCCCTAACCAAATAAAACTAGGCAGTCATCAAAACCAATTGTCTCAGTCAGTGTTCTGTTGCTGTGAAGAGACTCAATGATGGAAGCAACAATTATAAAGAAAACATTTAATTGGGGCTGGCTTACAGTTTCTGCGGCTTAATCCATTACCATCACAGAGGAAACCTGGCAGCATGTAGGCAGACTTAGTGTTGGAGAGGTAGCTGAGAGTTCTGAGTCCAGTTCAGGAGGTCCTGGCTTGAGCTCCTGAAACCTCAAAGCCCACTGCCAGTGACACACTTCCAAGGCCACACCTACTTCAACAAGGCCACACCTCTTAATCCCTCTCAAGTAGCACCACTTTCTAATGACCAAGTATTAAAATATACTAGGCAATGGGGGCCATTCTTACTCAAAAATTAAGGGGCCTTCAAGATGGCTCAGTGGGTTAAGATGCTTGCCGAATAAACCTGGCAAGCCAAGTTCTATCCCCAGATCCCAGGTAAAGGTGGAAGAAAAGAGCTGACTCCGCAAAGTTGTCAGCTGACTGCAACATGTAAGGTGTTACATGGGGCACACACACATGTACACACAAATTTAGAAACTTAATACATTTTAAAAATCATGGCTAGTTACCCACTGCAAACTAAAACACTTAAATAAAAGGTCCTATGGACCACTGGGGCCTAGAACTCTCTCCAAGTAGCTGAGAGTGGAGTTGCAGAGTAAGGAGGTAGGCTCTGCTCAGATGAGGTGACATCTTCTCGAAATTTCACATCAAATGATAGATCTGGGTGGTACTGCAGACAAAGCTTCAGAGTGGCTTTAAGAGTACTTGTCTGTCTAAGTGGTCAGACATGGCCTATGGGTTGGAGGATGTCCCTGCCACAAACTGTCCAGTGAATCACTGCTACCAGGTCTAATCAGCCATGCCCACAGATGGGCAGGGGCCATAAATGCACAGGAGTAGCAGCAAGAACATAGTACCACTTCAGAGGCAACTTGGTACTCTGTGGGCTGATTTTCCAGGAACCCTTGGGACTACAGGCTTGAGAGGAAGTAAGCAATCAGGTAATATTACACTTTGGATTATGAATGTCCCCACAAGGCTGTGTGTTAAAAGCTCAGTAACAGCCCACAGTGGTACTGGAAGATAGTGTGGAACCTCTGGGAGGTTGAACTTAGTTAACTAAGAGCATGCCCTCGAAAGGGATATTTGTAACCAGCATTCTTTGTCCTTCTTGAGGTAAACTCAGTCTCTTCCACTCCACGCCCCCACAATGTGTTGTGGGGCAACAGGCCCAAGTGACCATGGATTGAAATCTCTTAGACTGTGAGTCCAAATAAAACATTTTTGGTTTATAAGTTGATTCTCTTGGGCATTTTATCACAAAGCACATTAGCAACGTGCTTAGACTTGCGTACAGAAGTAGTTAAAAGGGGTGGCAGCATAAAGATTATTTCTAGCCATGAAGTGGTGGTGCACACCTTTAATCCCAGCAGTTAGCAGGCAGAGGCAGAAGGATCTCTGTGAGTTCGATGCCAGCCTGGCCTACAGAGTGAGTTCCAGGACAGGCTCCAAAGCTACACAGAGAAACCCTGGCTCAAAAAACCAAATGAATGAATGAATGAATGAATGAATAAATAAATAAAAGCATTTCCTTATTCTGTCAATGCTTTAAACTGTAGCACAGCAACGGCCATAGAATGCACACCAGATATTAAGAAATTGTTTTAAATACCTAAGAGTTATAAAAACCAAGTGATGGATTTATGTGTGTTCTCATAATTTTTTTCTTTCTGTCTTAAATTATTCATGACAAACTATCTCAATGCATTTTCCTGCATCCTAGGAATCCTGGAGTCAGGGTTAGTTGTTTCTAAGCTCGGTCTATTTGGTAATTTATTTTGTTGATTTTCATAGATACACATTTATTTATTTATCTGCAACAAGAGCCCCATTGTGTTGCTCAAACAAACCTTGTCCTCCTGGGCTCCAGTGGTCCTCAGAGCCTCAGCCTCCTGAGGGAGGAACTGACATAGCGACTGTGTACAGCCACACACAGTTTAATACCATGTGCAGCGTCACTCATATAGTATTAAAGTTCATCTCACATCTGTGCATTGCTTTGAGGCTGTGCCTTTGATCTGAGTTAGTTTTTAACATGAAATGGTTCATTGTGAGTTGTACCTTATTGGTGACTACACATAAGCAGTATAAATAGCTCTCTGAAAGTCCCACGGACTGCCATGTATCCAGCAGATGTACCTTTCAGATGGGGTATTTTGTAATAAGCACCGAAGAAAGCACTTTAATAAAAGGTCCAGCCACAGAGTGTGGAATAAAGAGATGGGAAGACCAGAGTTTTCTTAAGTCTTTCTCTGGAATCACCTATCCTTGAGCAGAAGGGCTGCTGCAATACCTCCAACCCTGTCCTGCCTGTTTCTCCAAGATTATATAATTTTCAAATTTGTAAAGCAGAAGATAATACAGAATTAAGATGTTTCTCTGAATGTTCAATTAAGATAACATGGTCTGGCAACAGCCCTGAAACAAATACCCCAAGTGTGGGTCTATAAATAAAGAAGAGATCAGGCTTCTAAGACAAGTATTTGAAGAAGTTAGAATATAAAACTCTAAAACCACTGTGTCATTTAGCATTTCATTCGAAATACAGCTTAATTGTGGCAGGTAAATCCTCAGTCATATCCAAGAAGTACAATTCCTGACTGTACAGACCAGGACATTTACAGTCTTGAGATGAGAATATTGCTCCATTGTCTTGCCTGTCTTGAACTCCTGCACTCAAACAGTCCTTTGGCATTGGGTCTCTGAGTAGCTGAAGTGACACCTACAGAACACCACACCCAGCTCTAGGCTGGTACTTTAAGGGGGGGGCAACTTCCTGTAGGAAAACGGAGCCACATTCCTAGCCAACACCAGCTTCTCCTGTTAGGTAAATAATTCTGCCTCTCACTTGCTTCTGACAATTCTTTCCTATCTTGATTTTTGAAAACATGTCATTGGACCAAAGGGAACATAAATTCCTGGATGACAGATAATTTCCAGCTGTGTAGGTAGGGAGCATCAGCTATCCTACCCTGCTCCCCATGTGAATTCATGATCTACTGTAATTTCTCATTAGAAACCTCATCTCTATCCCTTTCCCCATCAAACAATCACAGCACATGACCAAATTCACTTTTATTTTTTATACATAGGAAACAGGACCCTATCAAAAGAGAACAAAGAAGAAATCTGAGCCCAGTGTTGCCAGGAAAGAGCATGCATAAGTCTGCTTCAAGTCTGTCCCCAAGCACTGGCTCTATAGGACCTCAGCACACATAGGTGGAGCTGTTGGAAGGGGTGAGCATTACTCACTGAAGACAAGAAAACAAGAATGCTGGGAACTGTCCCCAGAAGTGCAATTTCCATAGGCGTTGCCAGTGTTTGCAGCTGAAGGAATTTCAATGCAGGCTCAATGGCAAACGAAATTTATCTTACACAGACACTGGAGTATAAAATTGCTGAGCCCTATCAGTCATCCAATTTCTCAAAAGGATTTGCTATCAAAAAGATAAGATGTAGTCAAGGACGCCAAATGCCTTGATTCAGCTGTCCCTTGGTGCAATCTCAGGAGCAGCTCTGACTGTGCTTATTTTAAAAAGGAAAGGAGGAAACTGAAGTTAAAACCACAGGTAATAGAAGGGAGCAGAAATGTTTGGACCATGTAGTTGTCTTGATTGTAAACAGCAGACATTGTGCTTTGTCGTCTTATTTAAAACAAGGACCTGAACCTGGAGGGGTACTGGATCCAGAACAGGATGTCAGAGACACATGGGTACACAATGACTTGAGCAGCAGCACTGTGTCCTCGAATCGCCTTAAAGGGTGCTCACTCCTTCCCTGGAATTTCCTATGAAACTGACTACCAAGTCCACACACTTTCTGTCCTTAAACTAAGTCCATGCCGCTACTGTCCTGATTCCTGAACCCCGACCCCATATAAATACCCCAAGAACACTTCATGTCCACTCTAGGGAGATGTTTGGATGCCCAATTCAACAAGTAAATATTTATCAAAAGGCTCTGATTGGCTCATTTAACATGTCAGTCCCCTTACTCCCAGCCCCACTCCCCACGATACTACACATAAAGTAACCTAAACATCTTAGCTATACTGCCTTGCTCTTAGTATACACAGTCTCAATCTGGGTCTAAACACACATCAACGTGACTAACTACTCAAGGGAACAGCACTCCTCACTGTTATGAACTCCCTCTGCTACTTGTAAATCTATGGGTGAGCCGATTCTCACCAGGTAAACAGCATCTCTAACTACACCTTCTTTCTCTAATTTTGATTATGTGGTCTGTGCGACTAAGTAGGTTTCCATTGTTCTATTCATAAATTTCCCCTCCTCTGAGCCCAGCACATCTCTGCTTGGATCAAATACAACCCTAGCTCTTACTCAGCAATGCTGGTCTTGTTTTGCTGGGCTACTTTGGCTGTTCTCTCCCCCTCCAAGGGTTGAAAGTGACCTCTGCTCTGAACTGTCCATGAAACCCATCACCAGAACTACCTGGGGGAAGGGTGATGAAGCCCTGAGCAGTGGTCCCGATGGCTCACAGTTGCCATCTGATCTCAAAGGACTCTCACTTCAATAAATGCACTAAAAGAAAAAGGAAACTTTTGTCTCTCCATCTGAACCCAGAGCATGACTCATAAAATGCAATGTCTCCATTTGGAGCAGGGAGTGATCTTCCCTAACTTAAAAGACTTTCCTCTCTTTAACGGTCTTTAGTTAACTGCAGATGTCCAGCTAGGGCCTGACGCTGACCCTCATCTTGCAGGGGAAGCAGCATACATACACTTGGGTCTTCCCTGTCCCTGAAGAGGAAAGCCAACTTTCAAAATGTGAGTGGAGACCGAACAGCATCAACAGGCCTCCCCGGCACATTTCCGCAGCTTCTAGTAGGACGGGCTAGGACAGTGTATAATGGCTGTTCGAACTTCTCTTCCCACTACTGCACCATGGGAGTCTTATCCCAGCCTGACCCTTTCTCTGCCACAACACACAGGCTATGCCTTCCTTTCCTCTTAGCCTCTCTCCCAAGGATCTACATCGGCCACCTCGGGGAACGTCAGCCCTCGGGGACTACTGTCACACTCTCTCAGAGAGCACAGACTACATCAGAAACAGAAGCGACAGAGGAGACAGTGTGAAATTCAAATGTCCTCCACAAAAAAACTTGAAAGAGAGCTGGGCTTGCTTTGAAGACATCAAAGAGCAGTTTGCCCTTGGACCGCCCTGTTAGCAAGTATCGGTGAGGGCGGGGAGGGCACGCGGAAGGGCCTGTCCCGCCTCTTTGCCTTCTGGGTAGCATCTTGCTACTTGTCCTTCACCACCTGTTCATAGGGAGGTGGGGGTGTGTTGCAGTAGGAAGGAGGGGGTGGGTAGGCTGTGCCTCCGTGGGGTGAACTGGGTTGGACCTGGAAAGCCATTGCCATGGTGTTGCCAACAGGATTCATCCCGGGTCCTCCAGGGTCAGTGTAATATGGCGGCCCCATCTGCTGGACCCCTGGAAGACAGATATCCACATGTGAGTACAAAAGAGAAAACCCAGCATTTAGCGCATCTCCGTGCTACCAGGTTCCTTCTGCCCCGTCATCCACTGTACCACTGCCTATCAGGAACCAAACCCTCCTCAGACATTAAACACCTACACTGGTAAACAAGCAAGAGAAATACATGGTCTTGCCCTCAGGGACCACGATTCCTCTGGAGAGGTATACTGCTGACATATCATCAGTCTCCAGAGTGCAATAAAGTACGGGAGCATGAAAGAATGAGGGAGTACCCTACGGACACCCATCACAAACTGAGCTGAAAACAAGGCAGCTCGCTTTGAGGAGCTGGTGAAGTACGCGCAGCAAGCATGGTCACAGGGGTGTGCCCGAGTCAAGGTGAGGAAGCTGGACTGCAGACAGTTGTCACGGTGCCCTGGCTGTCAGGAGACACCGTAAGCAACCTGGTGCCCTGACTCTTGGCCCAGACTTACCATAGTCCCCTCCACACGGTTTGAACACATTTTACTAGAAATTCACTGTATCTGAAGTTAAGGTCTCCATTCCTGAACCATTTTATGAAGGCAAAGAGTATCTATCACCCAGGTGGGCCAAAGGTCGCAGGAAGAAGACAGACAACTCCCACAGGCCCGTGCTGGGTATAGTTGGCAGTTTCCTGAGATATGTCTGAAGAACTGTGACAGGAGGAAGTGGCTATTATACACACCGAGGCTTTGCTCTTGAGGACCAGAGGACCGGGAAGGGGGACCCAATTCCTGTGACAGGTGAGCATAGGGAAGGCTGCTGTCTCTGTGCCACAGCTTGGGCTGTGTTTGTAATATCCCACAGAGGTGCTACTCAAATGAACACTAGAATACCACTAGAATACCAGCTCATGGGTTTTGTAGGAATCTTAAATTTTTACAAAAATATTTGACCTAGAGATACATTTAGAATATTAAAAAAGCAGAAAAAAAACAAAAGGTAGACAAGATACATCAATCAAGAACATAAATCCTTTAGTGAAGAAACTCGACAACCTCCAGACTTGAACATGGTGGGAACCTTGTGACTGAGGCTATAGGAACAGCATCAGCAGACAGTGTACTAGTGGTTAGCAGCTGAAGGCTCCCACCAGCCAGACAACAAGGCAGGGATGGAGACAACTTAGCCAAGGGCAGAGGTTCTCAGGAGGTGCACACTGCAGATCTCTCCACAGCTTTGTCAGTTTAGTTGGAAGATCTGGTGCCAGGCACTGCCCAAGTCAGTCACCCAGGCTCGCATTCAGGGGAACTGCAAGATGACAGACCCAGGTTTGACTGAGGTGGCGATGCATATTGGGGAACTAAAAGCAGAAAGACAGCCTTGTATGTGTGAAACCCATGGAGACAAGGCTGGCAAGTTAGGCAGATGTCTCCAGACATCAGAGACCTGTTCCCAAATGTACACATGACTCCATGGAAATGAAAAGCACCTCAGAACTACAGTCAGCTGCACCACCAATGGCATGGTAAGAACAAAATTTCCCAAGGAAACCCACACAGTCCATTGTAAAGAACAAATCTACAAAATGGGGTTACAGATTAAATTGTAAAAAATAAAGCTTCAGGGAGGTAAACCACAGCAAAACTGGACAAAGACTTTCAGGTGAATAGAGGTGTTAACACAAAAAACACAGCTCTCATCTCAAAGGGAATAAAAGATAGTTTATCCTGGAGCCTAATCCAAGTGACCATGGCCCAGGAAAGTAGAGCTAGGTCACCTAGTTTCTCAGTTCCAGTGTGGAAACAGTTCCATGGGTTTTATAAGAACAGAACAAAGCAAACCATAAATCAAAGCGATTTTAAAATACATTGGTGAGTACCTCTGGGAAGCAGGCTATAGCCCGGCAGATAGACACTGCTGAGTACATCTGGGAAGCAGGCTATAGCCTGGCAGATAGGTAGACACTGGTGAGTACATCTGGGAAGCAGGCTATAGCCCGGCAGATAGGTAGACACTGGTGAGTACATCTGGGAAGCAGGCTATAGCCTGGCACATAGACACTGGCTGACATCCTTCTTTGCCTTAGCATTGGTGGAAAGGGGTTTTGTTAATACACTCCAAAGGTTTCTATCTGTTTATCAGGATGGTAGGTCTGATACAGGCGCACAAAGAGAGGCTATCAAGGGAGCTAAAGATGACACAAAAGAAACTGCAATTGGGCTATGATCAGCAATGGACTCTCCATCAGCCCACGCAAACAGCTTCGTCCCAGAATTCTCTTTACCAAGGATAGAGATGAAGAGTTGTTTAGGAAACTTAGCCTCTCTTTTAGCACAGACTTAGATCAACCCTGACAAAGAATATGAGACAAACCAATATCTCACCTTTTCACACACAACTGAAGGCAATGGTTGTCCCTCCCCCAGAATTTATCATTTTCCAAGAGTCTGTCAAGGGGTGGGGTTCCATGAGTCTACCTCCAATACATGACTGGCTGTTTACAGGGCTAGTCTTACTTAGGCCCCATGCAGGAACATAGCGCTTCACCTCTTCTCCCTGTCCTCTGACTCTTACATCTTTCCACTTCCTCTTCCACAATATTCCCTGAGTCTTAGGGGAGGTGTTATGTATGCCCTTTTTATGGCTGAGCATTTGCCATCATTTACATTTAATCTACGCACACTTGGCTGCCAAGAGTCTCTGTTTTCACTATTGTTCACTGCAAATAGAAGCATCTCTTCATAATGATGACAGTAACATTTGTATATAGGTATGAAGATAAATATTGAGACCACATGTTGGTGTCTTCTCAATTTAGTTAAGCAACATTAGTGACATCCTCTCTAAAGTCTAGAACTTCCTAGCCAGGGGCTTTTGACTGGGTTTACAATAAGAGACACGTATTCTTCCTTGTGAAGTGGGCCTTAAATCTCACCCGAGAGTGGTGGGTTGGCTAACCCTGTTAACAAGTGAGCCATTATTGTATCACTGGGTAAATCCTGCCTGACACGTTGAGACTCTATGGGTCACAACTAAGTAAGACCACTGATAATCTGTCTCCCGCAAAAGCGTGCATAGCACCTTCCAACACTGTGAAAGCTAGCCGGCTTCCAGCTCAGTTCTTGCCTAGTTTTCTCTAGGTATGTGGTATCTTCAGCAGTAAGGCACTATCATCTAGTACTAGTGTGCAAACAGAAAGCATGGCAGTATCATGAACAGATTTCATTAATGACTATTCTCCCCACCATTGGTGGCAGAGCCATCCTACAAAAGATGTACCCACTTCCCTCTTTACTAAATGCTTCTTTAGACTGCTGTTTTCTTATACAATTATATTATTACTATTATTATCTGTATTAGTAGTAATAGTATCCACAGCATCATATATACATATATTTATATATAATATACATGTATATATAGCCAACCTCAAACTTGCTATGTAGTCAATAATGTCTTTGAAAGTTCTGACTCTTCTGCCTCTACCTCCTGAGTTGTAGAATGACATCCAGAAGCCACCAAGCCTGGTATTATGTGGGGCTGGGCAGAGCCCTGGGCCTTGTATTAGTTAAGCAAGCACTCAACTAACTGAGACACATTCCTAGCATCATAAACTGTGTTGCCATGATGCTGACTGTGGACTTTAGTGTTGCTATATGATATTCTACCAAGAAGACAGGTCACAGTTACTCTTTGATTTTTATGACCTAGACTATTTCCTCACATTCAATCACTAGTTCACTGAGCTCCATGGGGGAACATGTCTCTCTCTGGCCTTTTTGAACCCAAGCTCCTTTACCTTCATACATATTCCTCAACCGTGGCCCAAGCTTTTGTAATTTCTTCCATTGGCTCTTTATGTTTCTAAGGAGTGGGGTACAGAAGCTGGAGCTGGTTAGCTAATGTTTTCTGAGTAAGGAAATGAATGGATGAAGCTGGTCTTTCTTTTCTGCCTTGAGGCCATAAGGATGGTGGCCCAGCCAGCAACAAGGATCCGGGGACTGTGGGATTTGATGATGCCAAACTTCCCCTGTCTTCTGTGCACAGAGATGAAGATATGGGCTTCATTTTTCAGGTTCTAACGTTCAGAGGGGACAGTGACTCACCCTCACGGACTTCGGGCTTCCATATCCCATTCAGCATCATTTTATTCTCAGAACTTCAACTAATCAGCGGTGCTCTCTTGTCGCCCATTGTGCCTTCCCAATAAACCCCAAACTTTCAGTTAGAAATATCTGGTTCCCAGTTTCACAAGGAGCTTTACCTCTGAACCTCAGCCTTCAAAGCTACTTCACCTGTACCCTCTGATGACCTCAAAGTCCTGCTCAGAACTATGGAGCTAGCTACCCCATCCTTCCCATCGCCAATCAGTGTGTCAATGACACTGGACATGAATGATGGTCCTAAGAGCACTGTAAGCTTCCTCACACGCCAGCATATAAACAGCTGCCACCTCCTGCCCTCCAGGGAATGAATATCTGTCTCAGCATTGACGAGGCATACCAGTAGGCTCAACTGAGTTTAAATTCTTAAAAAAGGAATTTGAGACATCCAGCAACTCACTGTAGAGACCTAGGGACCTAAACCCATGTCTTCTGCAACTGGGATCCTTTAACTCCAGTGGGGTCTGCAATGCTAGTTGTGGGGGAATAAAACAGGGCACTTGAGCTTCTGAATGCTTCCAGGTACCACTAGGGCACAGATGGGATGGTATCAAACCTCACCTCCCTCACTATGCCTCTTAGCCCCATGATGATAACTCTGATCTAAGACATAGGACACTAAGCAGTCCTTAGTCCTTGACATCCTTCCACTGTCTGGTTAACCAATGGCCTTTGCTGTTTTCACAGGTACTTTTTTTAACTTGGTGTCCCAGCTGATGTAGGCTTTTACACCCACTAGGATAAAGAGTGGCTACTTGAAACTCTATGAGCGTTTTAAAGAGGCTGATGAGACATCACTTCCAGACAGTCTGCTCCACTAATCTTGTCTGCAACCCCTTCTCCAGCCCAGTTTCTGTACATGTTTGAACTTAATCATCCGTGCTCTGAGCACCAGATGAAGTTGTCAATTCACTTGGTTCACAAACACCCCAACTTGGTCTCTAATGTGGTCGGTAACTGTCAGAGTTACTACTGCTGTGATAAAACACCATGACTAACGCGACACGGGGAGGAAAACTTCAGTAACTGTCAGGGTTACTATTGCTGTGATGAAACACCATGACTAACGCGACACGGGGAGGAAAACTTCAGCTTAATGCTTCTATATCACAGTTTACCATCAGAGGAAGTCAGCACAGGGTCTCGAGACGGCAGGAACCTGGAGTAAGGACCTGGTGCAGGAGTCATGGAAGGGTGCTGCTTACTGGCTTGCTCCTTGTGGCTTGCTTAGCCTGCTTTCTTACAGAATCTAGGACCATCCACCAGTCCAGGGATGGTAGCATCCACAATGGACTGGGTGGAATTGATGAACACACTCTCTCCAGGCCTCTAGGTAAAAGCTGTGACTGGAGCAGAGCAATATAAACAAATTGGTCCCCAGCTCCATCAAACATAAAAGCTTTAGTCCAGAACTAGGATGAGCAGTGCCTGCCTACTCTGGCTTTCGGAGCTTTATAACGTTCCATTTTCAGAAGGTTCCTTCCAAGGCAGGGGTCCTCAGAGGCACTGTCAAAACCCATGTACCAGCCTGTGCCTTGAGGGAGGCACCAACTACCACGGTTAAGGCAAAATTGTCCTGTAAGAACTAAGAAATAGATACTTCTCTTTGATCTTGAACTTCAAGTAATATGCTCTATAAGGTCAGTGGTAACTTCTATAAAGATGTTTACTGCTGCACTACATATGAATATTCAAATAGGCACACAATGCTAGATACTTACTGAGTAATATTTTAAAATGCAAAACAAACAAAAAAACCAAATCACTAGCAATCATAAAATACCAAACAAATTATCATTTAATAACATCATATTTACTCCAGATGAATTAAGAATGCCAGACAGAGTCACTTTGTTCATATATAAAAATTTATACATTAAATAGCTTTTTTAAAAAAGGAAAAAGCATGTATGCATGTATGAACCATCTATCATCCACACAGGGTGCATCAACAATAATATAAACCCATGCGATGACAGGCACAGAGTATATTTCATTGCTACCAACAAGCATAAACAATAAAGTTGGTCATTAGAACATAATGACCAAATGGCCTGATTTATTTTTTTTAGCACACTCTGTGGCGTTACAAATGCCTGAAGAGAACACATGAATTATGACGACAGACAAGGATGAGGCAGGCTGACCTGGAGCAGGGTTTGGTGGCTGCCTGGTGTAGGACACATTGAATGTGGGTTCCTCAATGAGTGGTGGTGGATACATGCGCCGGCGGATGAAGAAACCAGCTCCGCAGCAGAAGAGCACACCCATCATCAACAGGAACCTGCAAAGAACAGGACATGAGGCCAGAGTTCAAGCCACAGGCCGAGGCCAAGCTCTAAAATGGTAACGAAAATGCCTGAGGATTCTCAGGGGGCCCTGGAATACCAATCCCCAATGGCAAAGCAGAGACCCAGCAAGCTATGGGAAGCCTCCAGCCACAAGGGCATGTGACTAGCCGTGGTCCTCTTTGGATTGTTTCACCTTGGGACATTCCTTCTATGGATGATACCAGCAAAATACTTGCCCTTAAAATTCCTGAGGTGTCCCCAGGAAAGGAGTCACTAACGTTGAGATGCTTGCTAAGACAAATCTGCATCTTGGTGGCTACAAAGGACTGATTTCAAAGTATTGCTGTTCTACATATTCATCCATGTCTCTGACATAGTACAATGTTTTAGTTTAAGCAGAAGGTGCTGCCAAACCGGGTCTCTGTCATTCTGTTTTCGTGTTTCCAATTCTTCACTGTCAAAACCACAAAAATGCACATTTATCCTTCCTAACACCTTTCTATGTTATGGAATGAACATTTAATAATAGTAAAAAACAAAACAAAACATCTAGAACACTGCTTAATTACTAGGAAAAATATAGGAAGAGAGAGGAAACACAGTCAACAAAACAGAAGAATATTCATAAAACTCCTGGCTGTAAACATTGCTGGTTTCTCTCCACATCTTACAGATAAGACATCTGCCCAATCATCTAAGATTCCCATTGGAAAGGGTAGGAAAGGGCAATATCAGGCAAAACTGATAAATTCTTACCCATCTCTGGCCGGTGGAACTTTACTGAACTTCATAAAATACGTCCATATTCTGGGCTTTGTATGAGTTGAGCACACAGCAAATTTGGTCGGTCATAACCAATGACACCAGATAATGTATTTTTAAAAAAGCTCGACATAGGGTCTTTGAGAATAGTGCATGATCATCAGTCAGTCAACAGGAACTTACCAGGTACTCTTGGTAATACTGAGCAGGAATTTAAAACAGACACAGGCAGAAATGACTCAGGAGGTGGGGGAGCTGAAATGAGAGTCTTTGTGTTCTTTCTTTTAATTAGTCATTTATTCAACAAGTAACTGTTTGGAACCTTTGATGTCCATAGCACAACAGGAAAGAATGTAGGTGTGCTGGTTAGTTTTTGCCAATTTGACACAAATTTTGACATATCTGGGAAGATGGATTATTAACTGAGAAAATGTTTCCAGAGATTCCCCTTAGACAAGTCTGGGACACTTTCTGGATTAACTGATTGATGTGGGAGGGTCAAGCTCCCTGTGGGTATCCCTGGGTAGGACTTGGGATATAAAAGAGAGCAGGCTGAGAAAGCCATGAGGAGCAAGCAGTGCTCCATCACGGCTTCTGCATCAGTTCCTGCTCTGACTTCCTCAGTGACCTAGTGTGACCCGGGATGAAATGCATCCCTTCCTTCCTCCCCAAGTTGCTTTAGTCACGGTGTTTTACCTTGGCAGAAACCTTACCAAAGACAGTGGGTGAGTCCTTTCCCCACACCTCAATGGACTTAATGTTTAGTAGAAGAGAAAGAAACTGAACGACACGTGTACACAACTATTTATTCATAAGTGAGTGATAAGAAAGAAAAAATGAAGGTTGGAAGAGCAGACCTGTGTAAAATATTATCTACCCAACCTCCTCACTATACTGGGAGGTTTCAACTGATATGTTATTGCACCTAAGAATGGACAGATAGTCTCTTCCTGCCATATTTGAGCTAGGTTCTAAATGAGGAGATACATTGAGGAGGAGGAGGAACAGGAAGTCTGGGAAGAAGAATGACATGTGAAGAGGCCTAGAGCAGGAAAAGCTCAGGGAAGAGAAGTAAGAGATGACTCTGCTAAGTCTCTTCTCTTTCTTTGTTTCTGAACTAGTATATTTTGTCATCGTCCACTTCAAAGGAAGGCTGTTTGTCAACAATCTTCAGTCTATGATCCACAGATTTTAGCAGAAGTGTCAAGTTGACCCTTGGAAGGCACATTTGCCTGTAAACAAATATCTTCTCACTCCCCTTCATGAAGTGCTTTACAACACCAGAAGAGCTCTCCTTCTCTGCTGAGAAAGGGGCCTGCTACATAAAAACAGCTTGGTCCCTCTGGAGGAAGGGCCTTGTGTGGCATTTTACCAGATCAATGATCATACTGTAAAGCCTACACTAGGTATGATGTGATTGCAGCCTTTTGACTTTAAAAAACCCTACCCTCTTTTGTCTCTGCACCAAGAGTCTAAGGCATGAGTCTACTAGCAGGCTAGAGAACTCACTATACTCTCAACTGGCTTAATAAAGTAATAAAGTGTGATGAACTGTAACTTTCTCACATGAATTATTTCATTTGAAGCCCCAGCGAGATCTCCATGCCAACACAGGACTTGGGTTCACTCTAGGCATTCCTGTAAGGATCCCCTGATAAACATTCCAGGGCCGCTGAAACCAGAAAGGTATGGAATGACTGCTGTGTTCCCAGACAAAATGACAAAATGAATGAGTCCTTCTGACACACTCAGGGTAAGTCTGTGCTGAATTCAAAGATCTGGTTTGGTTTTAGTCTGGATGAATGGCCAGTCAACTATATACATGACTCAGTGTACATTGGACAAGCACTATTGGGAGAGTTATTATGTTAGTTTGCTATTGGTGTTTCTGTCTTATTTTGTTCCTTCTCTGTTGGCTCTGAGAGAGTTGGACTTCTTCCCTTGCACTCATTTTGGCTTAGCAATGGCTTCTCTTGGCTGCCCTGAGCACACTGCACTCCTGCTCTTTGAGTCACAGTGTCACTGTAGCTTGGGTGCCTGGAGCTCTGTCGTCATCGTTGCCATTATTTGTCATTTGTTCTCTATGTTCTCTCTTATTATCTGTGATCTTCCCAGTTACCCCCTTTCCTCCAGGATGAGGAACTTCCAATCATACCAAACAGTTCCTGGAGTCACAGACCTGACTCATAACATTTCTTATTCCCCTGACTCAGGACGTGTGACAGGTCTTACATGGAGTTGGGACATCTTCTTTTTATTACTGTTGCTTTCATGTTTGTCCTACTAATCTACTTCAATGAGCCACTTAATTTCCTTCTAACGTGGAGACCACCAAATCCAAGATTTCACCCCTTCAGTGGATACTGAAGAGGTCTGAGGAGGACTGTGGCATTTCACTTTTCGAGGGAAAGCCGCACAATTTTTGTGGACTCGACTGACTTTCTCTGGAGTGAGGTCAATTGGCCCTCTATGAAGTGGATTGAACATCAAACTCCCAGTGTGTTTTTGGCCTAGGCTGCTGGTACAGATGCTGGGAGACTGTGACTTTGAGAGAGCCTTCCTGTCCAAACACCCTCATCAGGACCACAGGACCCCATTACTCCCACCAGTTTTTATGCCCTGGACAATTTTCACGAGTTCCTTATGACTGGGATTTAAGGTGTAGCTCAACCCACTAATGTGTGTAACATCAGTGAGGTTATCCAGGGGCTGGAGGAGTCTTTCCAGGTGTTCCTCCAGGAACTACATGAAGCCTTTGAATTTACATCACTTTTTACCCACTAGCTTCTGAAAACACTAGGGTATTAAATAGGGATTTTTTTCACTCAGTCTGCTCATGATATTCACAAACAAACAAAACTCTAGAAAGTAGAGGGTTTTGCTGGAATAAACACCTCACAGCTTACTGAGGTGGTTCTAAACATCAATAACCAAGATACTGAGAAACAAAAAACCCGGTGACAATGAGGAAGTCAGCACTGAAAAGGGACCAAAGGAACAACCAAACTGTCCCAAACCCAAGGAAGCACTAACCCTCCCTTCCATGAGAGACATGGCCAGTGAGTAAGAATAATAAGGGGCTGTGTTTCTACCTCCCTAAACTGCCAAGGTCCCTTGGTTACTCATCAGTAGGAAGCCCTACAGTTGAGTAGGCACTGGGGCAGAGGTTTCTGTTTAAACCAACCAATGGGATAAGTTACAAATAAGAGATGCCAGTTCAGGGAGATGCTACCCCAGTTAAGGATGCTCAGCCTGGGTCACAAACCTCCTTGTGGTGGTCACAGAAGGCCCTTTCTCCTTCTAGGCAGAGATCTTTGGAAATTAGGCACCATGCTCACTCATCATACGCCCCAGGAAACTAAAATGCCCTTTGTGCCTGTCCACCAGCCTAACTTCACTACCCTTCTGTCTGAAGACTACGTCCCCACATGGTCCTTCATTACCAAACGATACTTCCTCTGCTTCTCCCCAGCTCTCAGCCTCGGAACCGACCTCACCCCCTCTCATCCTTGCCACTCAGCTCCCACTTAGTGTCTGGAACTTACTCAACTTCCATCTTCCTCATCTCAAAGGCCTCCCCAGGTCCATAGGGAGTGAGCCATAAAGTGTTGATGATGGAACCCTGTAAGGGCCTTGGGTAGTATTTATCCCTGGCGTACAAATAGACTTTGAGTGCCCATCCCACAATGAGGGATGCTCTCTCAGCCTGGACTCTTGGGGGAGGGTCTAGGCCCTGCCCTGGATGAAATGACAGACTCTGGAGATCCTCCATGGAGGGCCTCACCCTCCCTGGGGATCGGAGTGGTGATTGGGTGGGGGGTTGAGGGGCCTGGTGGGGAGGGAGAGGGAGCTGGGATTGGCATGTGAAACAAGCTTGTTTCTGACTTAAATTTTTAAAAAAAGGAAGAGAAAAAAAAATAAGGGCCCAGCTGAGAAGGGACAGCCTAAGGCACAGGGACCCAGTTGAGAAGGGACAGCACTCACCACAGGTGAGTGCAAGAGCAATGGAGCACAGGCTGCAGGGTGGACAGGAGCAAAGCAACCCCTCCCCCTCCCATTCCTTTACCCTAGCCAAGACCGGGGACATCCTGGTAGCCTAGCCAGTCTGTGAATTCAGGGCCCCACCTCAGGCTGACAACATGGTACAAGCAAGTTTCAGTGTGGGGATGCCCTCAGCTGTGTGGCTCAACAAAGAGACTGGAGGCAGGCTCTGTGCTGGGTCCTAATGCCTGCCATTTCTCCTGGGTCTCAAGTCTGCTTCTCCTTAGATAGGATATTCTTCCTGCTCTTGGGACTCGGTTGCCTTGTGACTGTGGTCTGCCTTTGTTTCTGCCCCACAGAGCCTGGATACTCTTGTTTTTATTTGTACTTTTCAGTTTTAAAGGCATAGACAACTAGAATAAAAAAAAAAAACAACCTGATGCTAACAGTTGTGAGTTCTCTTGTCTGATTTTTACAGTTTCTGTTTAATGCTTTCTAGTTTACCATATTTACATTATTCTGCAACTTGATGCCTTTACAAGAAAAAGAAGTACTTATTAAGCTTTTCAAGTTGTTTGCCTCCATCTGCAGATGCACACAAACTAATCCTGGTTAAGGATTTGGGTTAATCTACGATTATCACAGGAAGCAGATATGCATGGCCAGTAGCTGAGAGCTTTTACATCCCGATCAGGAGGCAGAGATACCCTGGGTCTGGACTGGGCTTTTGAAACCTCAAAGCCCACCCCAAGACACACTTCCTCCAACAAAGCCACACTTCCTAATCCTTTCCAAAGAGTTCCACCAACTGGGGACCAAGCATTTAAGTACAAAAGCCTATGGGGGGCCATTCTCATTCAAACCTCCACAAGAAAAAAAACCCATGTCTGAATCGCTCAATAATAGCTCCAGCTGTGCCTGCTTACCCACAGGTGGGCTTGTTAAATGTTAGTACTCCTTTAAGAAAGGAGAAGACAGGCAAGTTCATTGGGCCCTCATCTGAGTATCCTCCTCCCAGGTGGCTGAATGCAATTATGATCTAATCACATAAGAACTCAAGGTAGATGCAACTAGGGCACACAGGCTAAAAACTAAGCGTGGGAAGGCGGCCCACCTATGCAGCAATGAAAAAGCTGTCACATATGTTGTGTAAAGATGCCAATAAAAATAGATAGTGCCTAATACTGCCCATAGGAAAACGTTCTTACAACAAATGGTCAAGTTTATTTGTTACTATTATTTCACATAATATTTAAAATTGTTTTAATTACAAAGCTTTATACATAAAGGTTATAACAGCTTCCTGTAATTCCAGATGCTCTTTGAATACTTGTCCCCTTCTTGGTTCTTGTTTACAAAAGAGCCCGTTCCCAAAACTTTCTTCCTCTGGGAATCTGTAAGACCATTGGGGGATGGAGGGGAAGAACTAAAAAAAAAAAAAAAAACTGTAAAATTCCAATCGGAAAAATAACTCAAATTTACAACAGAAAAGGTTGATAGTTAACAATCTGTGTACAGGCAGTCTCAATTGGCTACATATGCCATGTACATAACTTGGATTTAACTTGTGTTTAGAGAAATAAATTTTAAAAATAAATAGATGTAAAATGCCTTATAAAATATGATGCTATGTTTTTGGTTAAAAAAAAGGTTAAAATATTTTGGGTAAGGATGGATTTTTTTTATGATTAAATACAATTTTGCCAAAAAATGATGGGACTTTAAATATGACGTATGTTTGATGATTAAGATTTATAAATTCTGAAGTTTATAAAGGTCTATTCATGTTTGCAAAAAAATTAACGATGTCTGTCTAATCACTTATATCTTTGATAACTTTGTTAAGCTTAACTATTTGGAGAGACTGGGCATATCAAAAAACCACAGTAAAAATTAATTTTATATACCTTTTATTCTTATGTCTCCTTATGAAAGCTGATCTTACTGTTCTCTCCTATAATTATATTCACATATAGTTTTATAAATGATAAAATTATCTACTTAATAGAAAATATTCCTTAAATTGATCTAGATTTTATAAAATTGCACTATAAAAGGATCAAGAAAACGAGGTCCCTAGTTTCCCAATGAACTGTATAAAATGTATTTTGGTACTAAAAGAAGAGCTTCAGTTCAAAACTGTGATTTAAAGGCTTAAAATCTTAACAGATAAAATTATAAAATCATAATTTTATGTGAGTTGCTATTCTATTGTAAACTGTTACAAAAACAACACAAATGTTAATTACCAGCCACCTTATAATTAATCAAATGTCTTTAATGTGCCCAAAATCTGTTTATACTCATGCTAAGCACAGATCTAACTCATTTACAGAGACAGGATTAGAGGGAGAAATCGATGTATCTCCCATTATATAGTGTTCTGTAAACATTGTCAAAGTTAAGCCTAAAGCAAGTTACTCAAAACAAGTTTAAAATAGTTTAATATAAAATTATAGTCAAAATCAGTTTTTTTATTAAATTTACAAGCACGTATATGACAAGACGTCCCCAGGTTCAAGTAATTCCCTTCCCCTTGAATGGACACAGACCCCATCACAGTAAATCTCATGCTAGCATCATTACAAGATGAGAATGCATGGTAAAAGAAAACTTGTCTGAGCCTGCTGCTCCTGGTGTGTAGGTCGGAGAAAGGAACATCTCCTTATCTACAGAGAGGATGAATTCCCTCTTGTCTCACATGACAGGGGGTGGCTTCTCTCACCCAGTGGAGGACCTTAGAGTCTACACCCACATCCTAAATATTTGAAGCAATAGAGAGACAAACAGCAATCACTCTGCCCACTGAACTGACATATGAGGCTGCTGTGAACAGGGAAACCTTACACCCAAGCCTACCACCCACCCGGAATGAGACCTGCATACTAGTTCAGCTTGCCAGGACCATGGCCTTGACTTTAATTCTCTTAGCAAAAGCTAATCTCAAGGACTAAGAGGCAATTACTTGATGTGTAGGAAGACCCCAAGAAAGTTTTAGATAATATAAGATAGAAGCCCAGCCATAGGGCTGTCAGCATGGCAGGCCGAACCATGGGCACTCATGTAAACACTAAGTTGCAGGTACCACGTCTGAGGAGAAGACCTGGATGGTGACAGTCTACCCTGACAGCCTCTGAGTCACCTTCTACAGGGTCAGCTTCTTCAGCACCGCTGCCACTGGAAGCCAACAAGTCTCCACAGGGCAGACACTTGAGGAATTCAACAGGGGACATTTGGAGACAGGGATATCTATGGCCTTTCCTCCCTTTGGCTTTATTAGTCATAAAGCTTCCTACAGGACTAACTAGACACAGCAGTTCCCTACGAATAGGGGTCTGCCACAAAATTTTACAAACTGCTACATCTGTTTGTAGGAAAGGAGAAAAGATCAAATCCATGGTCGTTCAATTAAAGAAAGCCATATGCAGGGGTGTACCCAGGACTGGCCAGCCAGATATCTCACCCTAAGTCGGGATTTGAGGGAGCTGTCTCTGTTTGCCTCTTGAAAAGATAAGGTGTGCACATAGGCAAGAGTTGGCTGTTATACATTGTTGGAAAAATATAATGAAAGGGTAGGAACAAGGGTAAGGGTATATATCATGCTAGTGGGGTTGAAAGCAGTTTATATCATAGCTAAGAAACAAGAGCTTATTCTTGATTATAAATGGAAACCTTACCTCTCAAAGACATAGCACAGGACAAACAGGAACTTATTCTTAACTACATACAAAAACTTAGCAAGGACTTAACATAGGAGAAACAGAACTTATTCCTAACTGTCTTAGCTGCAAACAGAATCCTCAACCATCAAAGTATATTGTTCCTGTTTTGGTCTCCCATTAACTCCCAAGGTATTTTGTTCCTCTCTTGATCTCACCCACGGTCACAAGCAGACCAAGTAGATGAGTTCAAGAAACCCTCAGTGTCTTTTACAGAAGTCCCCTTTGCAGCACCGCGCCATCCCCCACATCTCCAGAGACTTGCAGGGCCTCTCTGAGAACAAAGACTTGTGCAAGGCTACTCTCTAAATGACAGTGTCCCTCCCACTCTTCTCTTTAGGTGCAATCGATGGATTTCACATGTTCCCCAGACCTCTGTGAAGAAATTGTGGAGGGGTGAGGATACAGGGTGCTTGTCTTGAAAGCTAAGATGCAGAAGATACAGATGAGGGGAGGTTTCCAGGCAACAGAAACTTTGTCTCACGTCTCAGTCTGCTGATTCTGACTCAAGACAAGCAGGCCCAATGCCACTTCAGAAACCGGCTAAGGAGATGCTCAAGGGTGAGGCCTCACCAAGTTCTTCTACTCTCACAGTGACAACGCAGATGGGAAAAGGCTCTGTAAACTCCTACCCCAGCAGCCCTGGAGGAAGGCAAGCCCAATGTCTTTACTCAGGCCAGACTATCCCAAAGACCATGAGACCATGACTGTGACGACGGCATTGGAACTGATGTTGTGGGCACTTGAGGACCAGGGGAAACACTAGGAAAGGGCACTCAGAACAAGAAGGAATTGTAACCTACCAAAAATACCACAGCCTCTGTATGGAGAGGGCCCGCACACAGCACCTGGAACCACAGCAGTCTTCATAGGAACGGCATCTGCAGGAGAGAGGGCAAATTCTCGGTAAGAGGGGTAGTTTTTCTCATCGTGTAGCTCCTTTCAGGATCACTGTAAGCATAATAAGCATTCTTACAAAGAAAAATCATCATGGATCCCTTCCGGGGTCTTCAGGACCAGAAAAGGCAGTAAGAATATCAGATCCATGCTCCAAGGGTACTCTGCAGCACCTGAGTACTAACAAGGACTTGTCCTATGCTGTGTTTAACCTCTGACCACGGGAAAGATGGGACTGCCGCCAAATGCTCTTGCAAGGTAAAAGCAAAGGTTACAGAGCCAAGTAAGGAGAAGAGGCTTAGTTCTGGTACAGCACTTACTAGCTATGTCATTTCTCTTATTAAATCTATCAGCCTTAACTTCTTTAATAGCAAAATAGACAGAATGATGGGGGACCCATCAAATGCTGATTTCAGGACCTCATCTTTATATAAAGACCATGTCTGCTCAGGCTCCCCCTCCCACAAACCTCTACATACCCAAGGCCTCTGGCAGGAGCCACACTCATGAGACATGTTCAGTGGCTGCGCTAACTCCGAAGAGTCACCCAAGAAGGCACTTCTTACAGACCCCAATCTAAGTGATTTGCCAAAGTATAGTCACTTGTGCAAGATGCAAGCAGTCACAGAATAACCCTTAAGGGCTGCCGTACCACCTCTTCACTCTGGTCACTGTCTGCTGACAGCGAGAGTTGGCTGGGATGATGCCTGGCCCAACGAAACTTGAATTACCTAGGAGGCAAACATCTGGATGTGTGGTTGAGGATGCCCGTTAAGCTTCCAAAGAAGTTGAACTGAAGCAGGGAGACCTGCCTTGAGTGCGAGCGGTCCTCCTCACAGACGGCGGTCTCAGGGGAGGAAGACAGTGAAGGTGAGAGGAGCACCTACTCTCCTGCCCTGTTCCTGGATGCAGGTGCATAGCGACCACCTGCCTCATGCTCCTAGTGTCACCGCTGCAGCCATGCTCACTGCCGTGACTCCTCGTCATGGTGGATTACAGAAAGGCTAAATAAACCTTTCCTTACTGAAGTGCGTTTGTCGTCTTTTTTTTTTCCACAACAAGAAGAGTAAGACAGTCAGGAAGGAGGCTAGCAGTTTCTGGAACACTGTCACTTTGAATACAGTGCTAACAGTGGGCCTTCTCTATTCTTACCTGGCTAACCCCTCATCCCTTCTGCTTGGAAACTGGAAAAATAACATGAAGGTGGCACTGTAACCCTCATGCCAATGGCAGGAGACCCTTGAGCTGAGCCCCTAAGAGGAACCAGCAACTGCTCTCTGACACCAACTGCAGGGCTTCCCAATTCAACCTGGAACCTCGTGTTGGCTACAAACAGACTCCCAGAGAAGCCTGCAGTATTTACGTTAAGTGCTTGACATGGCTAGCAAGTAACAATCGTTAAAGAACTGAGGTAATATGATGACAGGTGACACAAGGTACAGGTATGGAGTTGATTTGAGGTGAACCAACAATGGACTTACATTAGATATTTTCCAGATGCTACAGTCTCTGTGATTATAACTAACATTATGAGGGTGAAAACTGATTTGAAAAGGTGTGATGTCCTCTCTTATTGGAAATATTTTCTGAAGCACAGGTTTGTCATATACAAATGTGTATACAATAGTCTGTAACATAAATCATATTTTCATAGCAACTTTTGGGAACATCCCAAACAAACAAACAAAAACCTGAATATGTTAAAAGCACTATTGTGTCCAAAATTGTCTTCTGTCATCCCCCACCTGGGCAGTTCTGGGTGACCCCAAGTCCCAGTCTCTGGGCTTTAAGGTGGCATTCTACTGTCAGTAGTTTCAAGCTAAGATCTTCTGGTCGCTCACATCTTCTGGGGTAAAACAAAGTTGGCCAAATGGCCACTTTTTGCTTCCAATTGTACTATTTGATATCCTGCAATGACTGATTTTACAAGGAATAATTCTCCCGAAGGTACTGTGTTCACCCGCTACAGATGAGCCCTGTTTTCTGTCCCGACAGCACAGGGGCTGTTGGGGGTCAAAGTGGAGCTCTTCTGAGCTCTCCCACTCTCGTGCCACATTTGCAAGATGGCGTCTCTGAGTCTCCTCCGCATTTCACCTCAGCTCTGACAGGAGCTATTCTTCTCTCCTGCCAACCAGAGAATTTGTGTATGTGGCAACAATAAATCATAATCCCATTCTGTTGTCACCTTGCTGATGGAGTCCATTCAATCCTTAACTTTATATGAAAGATATGATAGGTATACATTGGTACATTTAATGATCACATCATTTTTCAAGAACTGAATTAGCTAAAATGTTTCACTGTTAACCCTTATAAGGAAACAGCCCTTAACCTAAGCCTGGACATCCTACAGAGGAAGCAGGATGATAGGATAGCTTATGATGGGGTATGTCCTTCCGTATATATGTTTCTCTTATTGGTTGATAAATAAAACAACGATTGGCCAGGTCCAGGAAGGAAGACAGGCGGGGCTACTGGACCAGGAAAAGGCTGGAGAGAGGAAGGCAGAGAGGAGCCATGGGAGAGACACCATGCTGCTGAAAATTACAGATAAGCCACAGCCTCATGGCAATACATAGATGGATAGAAATGGGTTAATAATTAAGACAGAAGTAGCCAATAAGAAGCCCTAGCCATCGGCCAACATTTAGTTATAAATATAGTGTCTAACTACTTTTTGGGGGGCAAATCGGCTGGGGGACCAGGCTGCAAAGAAACTCCAGCAACAAGCTTATATACAAATTTAGAGCTCCTTGACAAGAATTCTGGGAGCTATTACATACTGAACATTTAAATATAGGTAACTATTACCTGCATTTGTTAAAATAACAACACATGTTCTATTTAGTCTGAAACCACATCTACTCCAGAATATCATGAGCACTGTGGCTTGTGAGTTCTTAACTCAGATTCTTCTTTTTAGCAAAACTCAGCATCCAAGCCCAAATTAAGTTTTCACTTCGGAAATACTAGTTGCAAATACACACTATCAAATGACTGCTTTCTTCTCTCAAAACACAAGGTGTTAATTATGGCCCCTACAGCTAGACATCCACTGATTCCTAAGTATACTCAAGACTCCTCTACAGCTCTGGCCTGACTCTCAGTGTCAGATTCTGGCTAATGTTTTCCCCTCAAAGGAACACACACTTACCCAGAGGCTAACACTCTCACCCCTTTCCTTCTGCTGCTTTCTTCCCATAAGGCTGAGGGTGTACTGGAGAGGTAGGCACACCCTGCTGCCATTTCAAATAGTGCCAATTATAAATAACAGGTTAACTACAACCTTGAGATTAGTTAAAAGTAGGAGATATTCCTGGGTGGTATGGTATACTAAATAATTCCATCCTCTAACACACTCCAAGTACCCAATGCCTGGAAAAAGCATTTGTGTTCCAAAGGAAGTCATTAATACTAAACCGGGTACAGAACAGATGGTGACAACAGAATGGAGTTTCTGTCTCATTCTACTGTGGACCAGATATGCAAATTCTCAGACTGGCAGTAGGAAAGAATGCCATTCTTACCTGAACTCACTGGTAAGCACTTCTAATTACATGGGCCTGGAGCTTCTGTCTGGCAAGAATGGACAACTGAAAATGCTTTCTGTTAGACAAGGGCTTCTCACTGTGTTCTCAGATCCAAATATAGACAAGGATGGAGAATGGGAAACATCACCCCAAGCAGGTGTTAATCTGTAATTCAGTATATTCCAAAGATAACACCAGGGTGTCTAAGTTTCTCTCTGTGGATAAATGATAAGTGATGCTGTCTTTTTTAAAGATGAGAAATAAGTATGTGTCATTATTAGCACAGTCCAGAAGTGAAGAGAATTCTGGCCTTTAGACACGTTTATTCTACAAATTTCAAGAATAGACATATTAGGTCAGAGAACATTCAATGTCAATAAAATTCAAATAGTTCTAGATTGAAAATAGCCTTTGGGCTTGGTGTGGTAGTCCAAGTCTTTAAATCCAGCACTCAGAGGCAGAAGCTAGGAGATCCTGTGATTTCTTAGATAGCCTGGTCTACATAGTTAGTTTTGGACCAGTCAGCACTATATAATGAGACATCTCAGGAAAACACATTCCTTTTCCTTTTGGTTACTGTGAGGACTAGCTGGACATGTCCCCTCCCCCGTTTCTGCTGCAAAAATCCATGTTCAGAAATGCTAATCCCAAAGGGATGGCATTTGAAGTCAAGCCTTGGCAAGTTATCAGTCATTAAGGTGAAGCTCTTGGGAATGAAATTAGTGCCTTTATAAGGCCAGGCAAGAGACAGTGTGATTCTTCTCTTTGCCCTCTACAGGAAAGATGGCTGTCTACAAACCACACTGGATCAGGTGGTACCATCATGGCTTTCTAGTCTTAGGATTAATAGAAATATAAATGTTTGTTGTTTTAAACCAACCCTTGAAATTGTTATTATAACACAATATTAAATAGATATTAAATATTTATTAGCTAAAATGATAGGTAGGAATTAAACTTTGAATGTGGTAAAGCAACCATGAGTTCTGGGTGCAAGGTATAGAGATCTTGACAGCTGCAAACTGCTGTCATCATGAGGCAGTATTACATGACAGGATATGCCTAATAATTAAACTTTATAATTTTATCCTTTAAGTACTATTTAACTTAATATCTCATTCTCAGCCAAGGACAGTAGCATATCTGTGGGGTCAACTAGTTAGGAGCCTAAGAATGATTTAAGTCAGGATTTCCAGTTCAGTCTTGGCAACACTGTGACACTCCAACTTATTAAAAAGGAAAATGAAATACTTTACCTGCACATAGCATTAAGTCTCTTCATTTCTGTGTTTTCCAGAATATTAGGTTTTTTGTTTTGTTTTGTTTCTATTGTTATTTTTGTTTCTTTCTGGCCTTGCTTGTTTCTTTCCAATATCAAGTATTTTCATTTGATGTCTGGACCTGTTTATACAACTCTACTAACTATAATTCTTTCCCTCCCTGAGAGAACATGC